CTAAGTCATTTTGGCTTCACTTGAGTAATGGCAGCGACGCCTTAAAATATGCAAAAGCTCGAAAAATGTTTATAATATCTGCAGTGCAAACAAGAGGCGAAGCAGAAGTGTGCACTGCTAAAAAATAGGCATAAGATGGGTGCTCAAATTGGGCTGCCCTTTTCAGGAATGGAAAGGGATTGTTCTTGAATACAGAACGAATCAATAGATTAAGCAAACTTGCAGATCCGTCTATGTTCCGCTTCTCGGGTAGCCAAGTTGCTCAGCATCTTTCCAAGTGTACCCAGTGCAAAGGGGATTTCCATGGGTGCTGGCCCAATCCGCAGCCGTTCTTGAGTTGCTTAGCTATCCCGACAAATGTCCGCCGGGCTTCGCTGCAGCACTTTCTTGGGTCGAGGATGTGGGTGGTTGTGGGTGCTATGGATGGAAGTGGGCGCTGGTGGGTGGGCGTGGGCGTGCGTGTGCTGGCTGCAGTTCAAGTTAATTGGATTTGGGCAAAGTGCTGCCACCGGCGGCTTTCGAAGGTTGTTTGCAGTGCAGTGCACGGTGTGAGTGTGTGTGTGAGTGAATTGGGGGTAAATGCAAGTCTAATGGCTGCAAGTGCCTTTTTAATGACACCTGAAGTCATTCGGTAAGCTTAAGCATTTGTGCCGGCAGTGAAAGTTGCCAACTTGCAACCGGCAGACTGGGATATTCGTGTGAAACCCCCTTTTCAACCATCCTTTTCGGGGTTTTAAAACGGTGATATTGCTTAATACTCTCCTTGCCGCCTGCTTAAACCACATTTATAGGTAATTGAATGCGTAACTTTGCTGGCTTTTAAGCAAAAGGTCTTTCAATTGAATGTGGCTCAATCCACAGTTTGAATGGAATTTTAAATAAATAACACTACATTTTTGCTCTACAGCTCTGCCGATACTTTAACGCTCGTGGCGCCAAAACGCCTTACCTTTTTGGGACTATGACTTACTGGCGGAAAATATAAGCAAATCTGCCCGAGAGCAAGTCACGGAAGCAGGGAGTCACTGCTCCTGCCCCAAAGACTCCCCCATGGACATTTACATGCACGCCCACATGAAGTTATGCCATAACAAAGACGTTGCACATAGGACTACTTGGATATGCATAAAACTATGCTACATTGGCACTAAAGCAAACAGCAAATGGGGATACGGTCGGGATAAGAGGATGAGGATGGATAGGATGGGGACATGGCACCAAGTGGGGCCGTGTGTGTATTCAGTAATGTAAAAGATGCTGTGTGACAAGATGATGACGATGCTGATGAAATATGCCAAGGCAAAGGTAAAACCAACTGGGTAAAAACACACAGGGATGGATAGTCTAAATCAAATCTCAGTTGTGAACAGAGACAACAAAGCCAGAAAAAAGTGTTAGCCGTACAACTATGAAAAGGTAACAGTGTCTATAAATAATAGACATAAATATAAAATTATGAGCTAAATTTTGAACTTAAACTCAACTTAAATTACACTCATTTAAAATATAACATGTAGTACTCTAATATAATAAATTGTCACAAATAAAGCCATTGAAAGACTCACTTGGCTTCGCAAGTAGTCATCTAAAGATGAAAGTTGATAAAGTGAATCAATTTGCGAATGGAACTAGATCAAAGGGTCATTCAGCTCAGGGCCCCGGTTGAACTGGCTTTTCCATCTCCCTGCCTGCACCTGGCAACCAATGGAGCTTCTATGTTGGCTAAGTAAATGTTTAAAATGTTTGGGTTGCCTGCTGCTGGTCCTGTTCGTCCTGCAGATCCTGCCACTGCTCCTGCTGCTACACGTTCTCGTAGTTGAAGTTTTGTGCCCAAAATTATTAAGATGAGTGGCATAAATTATGAGCAGACCAGCAGGCCCTGCACAGGACTCGTAAAAGCCGCTGGCACATAATCCTTGGGGACTGGGACTGGGAGTGGGTGCATGGGTGGGTGGATTGTTTGATGAGTGAATGACTAACTGCATGACAGTTTAGCCGCTGTGTGGCTGTGGTCGTGTGCGGTGAGTGTGTGTGTGTGTGGGTGTGAGAGTGGGCGGTGCTGATCACTTTAAGTATTGACAACGTTGGACTGCATGGCGTATACGTAATGTGGCTTGTGGTGGCCGGGGGCCGCTGGCAGTTAGTTTAATATTTATTTAATTTAATATGCTAATTGGATGTGATCTGAGTGTGTGGGTGTGTGGGTGTGTGTGTGTGCTGCTGCAACTTTACGAGCGAACAATTCATAAATAAATGAAAGCTTCGCAAGTTTTCACATGTCAATGAATTGAGTTTGTGCTTGAGTTTTGCCTGCCAACTACTGCACCAAATGACTTTTATAAATCGTTTATAAAATTTGCCACCAAAGACGGCGAATGCTGTCGAGCCAACTTCTGCCGCAAGTCGGCGGCCACAGGCGACGACAAATTGTTTTTGCGATAAAATAAGACAAGTGACACGCGGCCCTAATCGTTTTGGTGGGCGGTGGGTGGTGGCGGATAGTTTATGGTGTTGCAACCTAAAAGGCTGCCACTCCGTTAACGTTAATTATATCAGAGTGACTGAGTCGGAACGACATGAAGAAAAAAAAGGGATAGAGGGCGAGTGTGAGAGCTAAAACGGAAACGGAAACCGAGAGAATATTGTGAAAAACTTTTGCCTGACCGTTCCAGAAATTGCATTTAAAGTGTGGAAAACAGCAAATGCATTTCCCGCCGACGACCTCAATGTTTTGCATTCACCAATCAAATTGAATTTGTCAGACGACATAAATAAATGGTAAATCAAACGAATTGCAAACTCGGCTGTCAGCGGGAAATGAAATTGCATGCCAAAAAGTATGCAATGAATTATATGTGAAAAAAACCCAAAAAAATACCTCAAACTGTAACGACTCAAAAGTGGTGCGCAAAAACTGGAGCTGGGAATAAAAATAAATTCTTGAAATACACGAATGTATACAAAAATTGTGTGTGCAGCATTGGGGAATATTTTGCACCACTCGCAGGGTGCACTGAATGGATTGGATTGGCTTTGGCATTGGGTGCAGAATCTGACGTGGCAATCAATTTTTGCAAAAGTTATGAAAAAACTTAATTTCTGTTAAGAAATATTGATGAATAATTGAGGAAACTAAAAGTTCTTTCAACGCAATATAGTTGCGGTACAGTATCATCGCGTTGAATGAAAGTTATTGAATGTATAAACTAAATCTTGCAAATATGGTCCTTCTCTGCAGTGGGGTTGCACAGACAAATGATACCCTTGCTCCATTTAGTTGCAGTGCATCAACTGCCTCATAAATCCCACTTTCCCTCTGCTCCTACCGTTGCACGCTTTTTCACATGTGAAGCTGGAATAATATGAATTTAAATTGGAGCCCTGAAACAAAAAGAAAAGGGGGCACTGGGGATATAGAGGAGCGCAGCTCGCTGAACTGTGAAAAGTAGACGGGAAGTAGCGAAAATGATGCACACGCACACTCGAAATGCGAAAAGCGACAAGCTGGCAAAGTCACTCAGTTAGTGGGTGGTATGTGGGCGCAGAAGTGGGTGGCTCGCAGCATATTGAACTTGTCAACATGACAGTGGAGCGGAAACGAAGCCAAGGAAAATGAATGAATGAGTGAGTGGTGAGTGAATGGGTAGCGGGCGGTGTTTCGAGTGTGTGTGCATAAAGTGATTCCCGATAGTGGGGAATGTATGCAAAATATATGCGCACCCGAATCCGGCGAAGGTCCTGCGGCACAAGCAGCAAGGAGCAGGCATCCTGGAGCCCGGAGCCTGGGGAGCAGTACTTGTTGAGCTGAGCCAGCGTTACTCACGCTCGTCATGCTGCTCGCCGCTCCTTTTGTTGCATTTCAGTCGGTAAGAAATTGCAATTGCTATGCGCAAACTGACATTGACAGCCGCCCCCCTCGCTCTAGAAAAAAGGGGCGTGGCACTGCGGCTGGCCCGCCACTCTGTTGCCCATCAATTTGAATGACATTCACAAACAGGCAGCCAGCTAGCGAAAATGCAAGGGAAATTCAGCATGCACGACGAGGAACAAGAAATTGTGACATTTGTATAGAAATAGTTTTGCAGTTGTTGCAAATAGTTGTGCAGACATTTTTTGATTGCCGCATACTTTAAGCCAGCGAGCCAGTCAGTCAACCAGAATGGATGCCTCCAGCTCGCAGCTCGCAGCTCGAAAGCTGAGAAATGGTTTGGCTGGAGCTGGTATTTTTTGCCAGATCCTTGGGGCTCGTTTACTCCTTTGCTTTGATGCGGCTTCATGAAGCTGCTGGTAATAAATCTCTCTTTATACGAAAAGGGTCTCATTTGCGGCTTTAATATTAATTTCGGTAATTTGTTGAGAATGCCATGCATGGTTGGCTGCTTCTTAGCAGTCTGTTCAATGTGCTGCAAATTAAAATGAAGTAAGAAATGTACTATCCCCGTATTTCTGCCGTGAATATGGCTCTTAAGTAGAACTGCTGGAAAATTCGGGGAATTATCTTGGCTGGCTGGAGTCTTCATCGGCTGTTCTTATTTTAAAAGCCCTGCGATTATAGTGGATTACATGCACATACCCTTCATTATCAACTTATGCTCGTGTTCCCAGCAGCTCTGTGCCGGCTGCTTCGACGTCATCTCCATCTCGCCCATGAGTTGGCATCCGTTGCCTGTGCATTTGCCGCATTTTCAAAAGGTTAATTTTCCAGTTATCAAATAAAAGGCCAGGCATGCTTTCCTACTCGAATCCATGGAAACCGAGGAGCAGGGCAGGGGAGGAACAGGATGCAGCAGCTGGCTGTTGGATACACATGCTTGGCAAATAGTTTTGACAGCCACCGGGGAAACTGGGCGGTGAAAAGGGGGCGTGGCGCGTGTGTGGGTGTGTGTGTGTAGTTGTGGCCAAAGCCGTTGGCTTCCTCTTACGTACGAGTATTTTCGCTAGCATTTTTCTTGTAATAATTTTTGCTTTAACCTTCCTGGCATGCAGAGTGAAAAGAGCGCTTTGCATTTCAGCATTTTGCTTGGCTGCTTTGGGGCCAACGATTTTATTATAGCGTGTTTTAATTTTCATTCGCATCAATTTGCTAAAACATTGCATTAAACTAGGAAGGTTGTCTTAAGCCTATGTTCTCTTGAATTTAATTCTTCTTCTCGGTTAGATTGTAGATTTGCTTGGCAACATCGGAGAGCTGAACATCAATGGCCTTGGTGTCGTCATACAGCGATGGAGCCTCGCCCAGGATCACAAATGTGCCCACCAAGGATGCGATCATAAAGAGCCAGAGGAACAGGCGATCCATGACCATGGCCACGAAGCCCCAATCCTGATCTTCCTGTAAGTGGAAATGGTTAAGTGCCAAATGGTTAAAGGTGATTAAAAAATGCATACGAAATCAGAAATCCGAAAATCCGAAAATGCGATAATAAATCAAAAGGAGCACATTGTTAGTGGATGTACGTGTATAATCGTATATCCAAAACGAATTTATTTCAATTATGCACACTTTATATAAAGTTGAATTATTAAATATGATTGCAATGAACTTTGCTGAATAACATGTTCAACAAGAGCAAAAATCATGCTTGTGTTTATATGAAAAAACATTTTTTCGCTTTTGGCTGCCATCCAATTTGAAGTTGCCCGCATGCAGGAGGCTTAATTGCGCTTTAAGCCCACACTTTGAGCGATTGGCTTTCATTAAGCACTTCGCTTAATCTACTTATGCCCGGCATCAGTTCGGTTATCAATCAAAGAGCGAAAGCGCAGCACCAGCAAAGCAAGGCCCGAAAAAATAAATGGCTCAAAAGGGCCAAAAGCAATGAATGGGGGCCATGGGGGAAAAACTCGTGGAGACCAGACGCCGCAATCGCACAACAAAGAACATTCGGGGTTTGATTGAAACGTTTTGCTGAAACCGCCGATGAAGAGATGAAGTGGCTCGATTGGTGGGAGGTGGCCAACTGCCAGTCAATTGAACAAAAGCAATTAAAAGTGGATTTGCCGGTTCGAGTCTTTAAGTGCAAATATGGCAAAAGCTTAAATAAGTTGGCAAAAGGAAAAGCAAGTGCCTTCCTGGAGATCAGTGCCAAGGGCGACCAGTGGCCACTGACCAGTACGGATGAACGAGCGCCTCCGGATAGGTGGACGACATCATCGGCCAAAGCGATTTTTGCGGTTTCATTCTACGGCTACGCCCGTGGACAAATGGAATTTCCAATTAAAAATTCAATCAGCTGCCGGACTCACCGCATTGAACTCGTCCTGCCGCTGCATGTGGTGCTGTATGAACATGACGTTGTGGATGGCCTTTTCCAGCTCGAAAGGATACTTCTTGCGTGCGGCCACATCGCTCAAAGAGTCGTCCAATCCCGATAGCACCGATGGCAGTCCGTTGTAGCCGCTCAGGGTGCTCAGTCCGCCGCCCAAAGCCCCCACCAAGCCGCTGAATCTGTAAGTTCGGGATGAGAGGTCATCACGTGTCCTTGTTACAGGATGTGCAAGCATGCGGGGCTCAGAAATCATTAATGGGTCCATCGCAAAGTGCAACTCTTACTTCGTTTCGCGCTTTTTATACAAAATCATATAAAATATTATCAAGATTGTGAATATGGCGAAAGTGAGTTATCTTTAGTAATTTATTGAGTTGAACCTCGTATTATTGCTGTACATGTTCTAGTTTTGTTTAGACTCAAGTTGGTTTATTTACCGCCAAGCTCGTTAGCATAACTCACCTGTTCGTAGCCGTGGTCACGTGCATGCCATTGCACCCACCCGCACCCACTCGACCTTGCATCCGCCGCAGGGAGTCCGGACTGGAGCCGCCGGAGTTCATTTGCATCTCGTCCATCAGCGCCTGTCCGAACTTGGTCTTGCTGAACTTGAGGCCGTAGTTGATCTTGTTGGCCGCCAGGTCACGCAGCAGGTCCTTGGGCACGCGCATCAGCAGGAGCTTCGGCAATCTCTTGATGAAGAAGGACCTAATCCAGGGGCGCATCTTGTGGGTACTCGGCTTCCGGTAGTGTATGTTCAGTATGATAATCGTGATGACCACACTCAGCCCAACCAGCAACATGGTGAACAGCAGATATTTTCCCAGTAGCGGCAGTGCCAGCGACGTCGAGGGTATAATCTCCGATATGAGCAAAAAGAACATGGTTTGCGACAGGAGGATGCTGATGCACAGGGCAATCTTCTCGCCGGAATCAGCGGGCAGGTAGAAGACCAGCACCGAAAGATAGGAGATGCCCACACAGGGAATGATCAGGTTGACCGTGTAGAAGAGAGTCTTCCGCCTCAGGGTGATGTTGAAGAAGATATCTAAATAGTCCAGCCAGTGAAGCAGCCACAAGTCCAAGAGTCGCGCGAGAAGTGGGATACAAGTGTGTTGGGAAAGGGGGAAAGGGATATTTTTCAGGGGATGAGTTTGGGTAGAGCTTTCGCGTAATTGCTGGCGATGGGAAGCTTTAAACTCCACTAAACTCACCCGGATACGGTTCGGCACAGCAGGGATAGTACTTCTCGTGCCGCTCAGCCGGAACGCCAAGGATGTCCCACTCCACACTGGGATAGTACTCCCGCAGGTCGATGCCTATCTCCACCTTGTTATCCTTGTCGTTCTTCTGGCTGATGTGCTTCAAATCGATCTGTGAATCGAGCAAAGCCCCGTTGATGGAGCCCTTAAAGTTACGGTCCTTTGCCTTTTGTCCGGCTCACTGCCGCTTGCCGTGACATCGCCACCCGGCGCATCCCAATCCCTCCAATCTCCTCCCAATCTCCTCCAGCCAGGGGACCCGCAGCCCAAGTGCAGTCGTTAAAAGAGTAGCGAAATTTAAATGCGTTGACGAACGCCCGGTGAAAAAGAGCTCTGTTCCGTTGGCAGTCCCAAAACCCATCCCAGCACTCAGAAAAAATCGAGTGGCATTCGAGTGGAATGTAACACAGAGAGAGATTCTTCTGGTTGCCCTCCAGAAAATTTGCTTTTAACTTATCTGTTGTCATTAAACACATCTTATTAGTTTTAAATTTATAGTTCGTCCTTAAGGGGGTTTCCAATTTCAAATGCTCCTACTCCAAGATAAGCGACTTGATATTTTTCTAAGTGCACCTGTCCCTCTTTGCTGAACTGCGAAGGGTCAGCGGAAACGGAAGCTGCTTGGAATGGGTGGAAGTCGCACTTTGGCTTAATTTATGGCCGCGCATTTTTATGACAGCGACACACACAGTCGAGTGCCTCTGTGTGAGTAAGTGGCGCTCCCTTTCAGCTACAGTGTGTGTGTGAGTGTGCAGCGGTTAGACAAGTTTCAATTACACTTTTACAATTTCTCACATTTTAATCTGCGAGACGCCAACGACGCCTTTTCGATGTTCTTACCGCGTCTTAGGCGTGTAAGTCGCTACCTCATCTCCTTATCTCTCAGATAAATGGTGGGCCATAAATCGCTGGCCACGCCCATTTATCTAGAGCCCAACTTGCATGGCACTGGCAGCAGATAGCAGATAGCAGACAATGACGCCCCCACTCACCTGATCGCCGTCGTAGGTCCAGGAGCCGAACTTCATGAAGCAGGTCTGCTGATCGAAGGGAAAGTAGCGCACATCAATCTCGCAGCTGGACTTGAAGATGGCCGGCGGAGTCCACACCACTTTGCCGGTGTAGTGGAGGATGGCCTTCGTCATGGTGGTGACCACGTACTCGCCATCGGCACTAAGGGAACCAGATTGTAATGGAAAAAAGCTTTGACTTGGGAACTCTGAGAAATGGAAGCTTATGTTTTCCTATAGTTTACAAATGTGGTCTTCAAATGTGCATTTATTTGTTCCATGTCCTTTTCCCACTACTCACTTGTTGTAGAGCACAATGTCGGGCAGCCAGATGTGCTCGGAGGGCACATAAAGCTCGGTGACGCCGCCGTACTCCGAGGGATCCCACTTGAATTTATGATCCTGCCACTCGTGCTCCAGCCACACGTTGGTCGTTAGAATTTGATCTTTGAGATTCTGCAAAGAATTAAGCTCGAATATACTGCAAGCTCTACAAGCCGCAAAAAGTGTGTGGGGAAACGGAGTGGAGTTGGAGGAGTTGGGGGAGCTGGGGGAATAAGGCCCAGCCATGCATCAAGTGGGATTTGCATTTTATTCATTTTCCCCCCACAGTTTTTTTTCCGTTCTGTGCCCAGACGCTTCTTTATATCATTTGCACTTCTCGTCCCGGCCAACCGGTCGCCGCGGCTAATGTGCTTTTTGCTGTCAGCTTACGGCTTCTTTCCCTTTTCGGCATGTTTTATTACCTTTTAAGCCTTCTGGTGGCGGCCCTGCAGCCGGAATTGCAGTCTCTGCCGGCTGACAAATGACTTGGCCGGGGCAACTTTAAGCAAGCGCAGGCAAGGATCCCCTCCATGTAATGAAATGTTGAAGTGTAATGTTATAAAAATCTAGTGCTCCCCGTTCGTCCGAAGTTTTTTGAGAAATGCCAGCCATTTATCTGTTCTGCTGGTGCAAGGCAACCAGTGCTGACGGGAATAAAGTAGATGTTGCGAATTGAAATATGCCACTTTAATATAGGGTATACACAGCATATTAGAATTACGCTTCTTCTTGTTCAGTAATTTTAACTTTCCTTGGTCTTTCATTATGGCCAGCTCTCGATGCGCCCCATTTGTTGCTGTTTATGGTTTTGCATTTTTTATTTACGAGCGGCTGAAACTTGCTGGCGACTTTTACGCATTTCTTGTTGCTTTCTTTTCTTTGCCAGCAAATGTAGCGAAACGCGGGCGGTTGAGCTTAATTAAAAAATTCCCCCCCAGAACTTCGATGATTATATCAATTAATCGTGCTTACCAAATCGATGAGTTGGGACAGCCGGAGGCCCAGCTTGACCAGCACCGTGTCCGTGTTATTGCTCACGGGTCGGATGAGGCGATTGTAGTTGCTCAGCAGATCGTCGTAGAGGCGCTTGGCGTCCGGATTCGCCTGAACGGTCTCGCAGAGGAGCAGGAGCACCAGGAGCAGGCAGAGCGGCTTGCAGTGGCGCCAGATGTGGGCGAGCAGGGCGGTGGGGCGGCGTGGGCAGCCAGGAGCCATGGTGACGTCACGGCGGAGAAAACACAACCAAAAGAAAAACCAAGGAGGACCTTGACGTCGTGCGGCGTGGGCGGTGTGCCGGTGTTTTATTGATGCACAAAACACGCGCACAGGTTTTTGTTTACCTTTCTGCCCGCCTTGGGTGCTTGGTTGCCCCTTGCTGCTCAATCTCTGACGCAGTTCGTGGGGCAGAGCGAGTGGCTGGCTTTTAGCACATGGCCTAAAAGTGTTTACAAGTCTCCAAGTCTCGCTGCTGCTAACTGATTCCCGATTCGGCGCACTGGTTGAGCAGCTGAAGCCGCTGCGCCCAGGCAGCTGATTTTGTTTTTGCTCCGGCCGCCTTAACTTATTTAAATGTTTTTTTTTGTAACTTTCAGCAACTAAATGTTGTGCTTAAAAATTTGGAAAAATACGCGAACTTGTTGACGAATTTTTTCAGATTTTTTCAGATTTTTGTGTGCAGTTTTAAGCGGACTATCACTGGTTTTCAACGAGCCTTTGGGCCCCGCTCCGTGGTGTCCTGCATAGATATTCACAGGATTCGTACTGACGCGCGTTTTGTTTTTGTAGCCTGGCCAGGACCTCTGGCAGCCTCCGTTTTGTAGCTTTGTCGCCGGCTGAATTTTCATCGGAATGTGGCATCCGCAGATGCTGCGCAGCGCCTGCGCCTTTCGCGTTCACCCTGTTATCCTGCGAGAGCCGCATCCTGTTACACACAGTAAAGCCAAGCCCTAGACGGCGCCTCTCTTCGACACATACTCTAGGCGGGATGCTCGGCGGACTCTGCCAGACGCGCTCTTCGATGGGTTAATCCCTCAAAGACTCAGGCTCCATTACAACTCCAGCCTGGCTCGGTGCTCTTTTGACCGTACATATTTTTGGGGCTCTCTCCCGCGATTCCGGCGAGCCACAGCCCAAAAAAATTCCCCACAAATACTCCCAGCACACACTTACGCAAAAAAAAATTTGGGAAAATCGGGAAAAAAATATGAGGACAGGCAGGGAAAACTTTAACCGTGTACATGTGTACACATACCGCTGCACACTTGGCAAACACTCATACGCCACGTTGGACCCACATTTCGTTTAACCAGAAACCAAATTTTTCGTAATTGTCAACATTCGTTAAAATCTACGTTAACATGCATTCGTCCAGGCTCCACACACACACGCGCACACTCATACATCAAGGCACACACACACACACACACGCACACTGCTATCAGCACTTGTGCACTTTGCATGTTTAGCGCTGCAATGCTGGCTACACTTTTTGCCTTCTGCATGGGTGTTGGTTGAGCTCGGTTTTGCATTTCGTTTCGTTTGGCATTTTGCAACGTCTGTTCACATATGTGTCATATTGCGATTTTGAGTTGTTTCTGTGGTTTCGGTTTGGTTTCTGCCACCCATACTTGTATTTCTATCTGCCGGCTGCTGAATTCCCCACCCTTGTTGCCTGTAATGCGTTTGGCGTGTTGAAAACCAGCCGAGCCATTCATTCCATAATGCGGTGTGGCCAGCCTGACTACCTTTAGCTGGCTAAATTTAATTACCGCATATTGAAAATGATTGAATTTAACAGCTTTTCGAATGGTTAATTGAAATTAACATGTTTTCATCGCCGCTGATTTAAGGGAATTAAGGTTTCATTTTTACTGTGTCACATAGTTTGGCAAAAAAATGTGTGTTGTGTTTGTAGAGAAATTTAATTTCAACACAGTCATATGGAACCAAACTAAACTGTAGCTTGTGGAGCTGCAAGATGGAGTCCATTTGGTTTGGGGTTTATTTGCCCTGTTGGTCAGTGTTTGGCTGTAAGTTCCGGCAGAATCCATAATGATACATGAACTCTGTCATTTGGCCGTGCCGCCATTGAGCCGCGTGTGTTTTATGGCTTACGGTCATTGAAGGCATTTTTAGCTGGCATTTGTAGCTCGCTTTTTTCGCTTTGGGGCCAAATTGGTGGCATCAGCGTTTTCACTTCTGCCAAAAAGAAAAGATTCAATGAGCAATTTATGCGCCTGCTGGCGGAACAACTTTAATCTAGTCTATTAGCTGCTTTATTGCTGTTTTCGTGGCCACCCTTTTTATTTATATGCTTTGTTTGAGCCTCATTTGAATGGGCTGCTGATACAGTTGCTCCCTCCGACGGTTGTTATTGCTTTCATTAGCCAACCTATTTCGACGAGTTACACATGTTTGAATACTCGCATGTTTGAGGGTCTCGAATGGAGCGGAATGGAGGGGAATGGAGGGGAATGGAGCGGATTGGAGGCATCCTCACGTTTTATTGCCACCCACACTCGGCGCCCACTTCTCCACATAACAAAGCAATCAAAATTACAACAACCAGCGTTTGCCACAATGGCAAACAACAATTTTTAGCTTGTTTGCAACTCAAAGTTTTATTTTTATTTTGCTTTTTTACTATTTGAGTTGATGCTAGATGCCTTTTTTTTCTTCTGTATTGCGGTATTTTAGCAACAACAGCGAGAAAAGTTTTGCTCTCTGCACTTCAGCCTGGTAAATCAACAAGGAAAATGGGTCGGCTGTGAATTGACTTTGATATACCCTAGATATACAGGTGCCATCAATCCGAGCTGCTGGTTCTGTCAGTCTGGCTGAAATTAAATCTTTGATGTCATAACTTATATCAGCATTGCCCGTCATTTTCAATGAATAAGTTAACAAAACATTTTCAATAACAAAGCTCAGCCCATCAGCCCATCAGGCGGCAAAGTTAAAGTTTAGCCAAACACCTGACTTTTGGACTCGCAACTAGCTCCTGACCTAAGGACCTCAGCCTGGTCCCCCATCCGCGCTGGCCCCACTTCCTGATTGCAAGGAAACTCAATTAAAATTTAAATTTTCGAACGTAAATGACAAAAGTTTCTCAACTATAAATAATCGGCAGTCGCTCCACTTGGCCTGCTCTTGGTTTTTGGCTTGCCACTTCAAAATCTGACAAAGCCGCGACCAGAGACCCGCTCTCGACCCCCTTTGGACCAACTTCCAAGCCTCTTTCGATCCCCTTTCGATCCCCTCGAGCCCCTGAAAAGTCAGTCGAATTCGCCCCTCCATAAAATGCGTGCGTGGCTGCGTGATCGAAAGTTTTTGTCTATATTCGTACCATTTATCTAACTTTTATGGCAGCCACACCAGCGGCAACAACCAACGTTTTCCTGCTTTTGGCCAGAAATTAATCGCAAAACTGTTTGGTGTCTCTATATAAATCTCCCCCCACTGAAACAACAGATATGTACATGCACAGTGATAAATAAGTGCAAAGTTTGCTGAAATAACACACAAGCTTACAGCTGTACACTTTACTAATAGTTTGCCAATTACAGTTCGAAAGCATGGGTTACCAATATGATAACGATAACATATGATGCATATTCGGTATGTATTTCTTGCAGTGCTTAAACTATGCTGTATACATGCGAGTTCGGTGGCTTGTTTTTGGCCATGGCAGGCCAATCACAATGAGCGCTTGCCTGCCACTTGAACAACATAAAACTGATTGCGAAAATCTGTAGCGCGCAACCCTCTCCAAAAAAATTTGTCAACGCGGACGGGTTGGCAGTGGGAGGGGGGAAGGGGGAGGGGGCGGCATTTGGAGCCTGCACAGTCCTTTGTTCATCAATTCGAGGCTGCTGCGCTTGTCGTGCCCATTGTTGACACGTTTAAGAGCCGTTTGCTTTTATCAGCACTGTCCAGATCGACAGGCGACAGGCGACAAGCGACGAAAGGACGAACGGACGAGATGGACCGCCAGGACGAGAGGCCACCAACCTGCATATAACATTTTTATAACAATTTTAATTGTTTGTGCCGACTGTGGAATCGTGCAAGCTCCGGCGACCCATCAATTTAATGGCATTTTCGCGTGAATCGCGCCGAAAACCAAAATAAAAAGACAAAAACAAACCTGGGAGCAAGAAAATCAAAGCCAGGGGCGAGAACACTGCCGGTTCTCGGGTCTTTTGGTCAATTAATGAAGATACCGGGTTTTATGATGGGCAGCGACAAGTCGTGCTGAAAATGGAGTAGGAATTATACGCCCATTGGTGGCGTGTTTATGGCGCCGTAAAATTGCCGCTCGACATAAAAATGTTGCATAGTTTTTGGGCCGCTAAGCGGATGTCATTAATTGCGCATTAGTTTGCTTTCTCGCAGTCGTGTGAATTTCGTGATTTCGCGTTCGCAAATCAAAGGGAATTCGAGTGCAAACGAGGCGTATGCGCAATCTAATTTGCCATTAGCGTTCGTATGCCACAGTGGCTGTAAACGTAAGTGTAACTGGGTGTGTGTGTGTGTGGGTGTGTGTGGCCCTTAGGGTGATGACTTGGCGGTTCGTACTTGAATTTTTGTATGGCTGGCTTAACTTGATGCTTTGGCTGTGTATGTGATTTGGATTTAAGTTGAACCGCCCGTTGAGCAACCGACAAAGTTCTGGCCAACCAACTCAGGCAGCAGCAAATAATATAATAATATTATTATTATAATATTTTGCAGCGGCACCAGCAGCTGCCACGCCCATCAGCTCAAGCTCATGTACACGCCCACACAGTTTTGTCAAAACGAAGAAAGAGCGAGTTGGATGCACTGAAAGAAAGCAGCGCGGCTGAATTCGAAATACCAAAAGAAAGGGTTTTAAAGCCAACATCTAAATTTATCCAAAAAAAACCTTAAAATATAAATATATACCGAGATACTTTCTGTGCTGTTTGGATGTAACTAGAACAAGCGTATGCCTATGTATACAACATGTAAGTATTTATTTCTTTCAGTGTCTGCCGAGTGCGAGTGACACAAAGTCATCAGGCTTCTGACTTAGCAACTTTGCAATGACAAGTTTCGCTGTCTCGCTTTGAGCGCGCGTTTTACTATGAATACTTTGTCAAGTTCTTGCTCCAGGACCCAGGACTCATTGTCGTTGTCATCATCAGCACTTTCACCGCCTCGTCGTCTGTGCGAAATGCCCTGCCTGCGATTTGCCAAAGTCGCTGCAAAACATGCAAACAAAATTAACTGGTACAATTGTGGGCGGGCAGTGGGTCTAATGATTTGATGGCCATAAATAGAGCAGAATAGATTTAATAGCAATGGAGGAGGGCATCTATCTTTGTCTAAGTCAATTTTGAAAGAAAATCAACAATTTGTCACACTTGCTTCATTATCCGAGGAATATTTAGGGTGCTCTAGTTCGGCAACTCTTGGTAAATGTTTTGCCAACTTCGTTTGAGCACTCAATTTACCCAGCATTTCATGGCTAACCTATCTCTCTCTCTTTTGTCCTCCATCTTGGCACTGCCACTTGGCATTTCCTGTTTCCGGTTCGTTGTTAGCAGCGCCACGTTGTCGTCTTTATGACCAGTGGTACCCTCCATTGTTTCAGTCCCTCTTCTAGATATATACTTGTATATATGTATATGTAGTACATTATCTTATGCGACTCGGCTTTTGTCGTTTGCTCTTGAAATATTTGCGCTTCATTATCATAAAAAATTTATACAAATTGACAGAAATCCAAGTAAATGCATAAATCCGGCACAGATCTCAAAGTTTTAATTGCGCCGTCTTGGATTTTATGGATGTCAATATAT